AAAAAAAAAAAAAAAAGGAGAAAAAAAAAACTGATTTGGGGAAAGGATATTTGCTTTCGCCCCGCTGCTGTCTTGGAAACGAGAGGGGGAGAGTAAGAGAGAGAGACAGGGAGAGAGGGAAGAAAGAAAGAAAAAAGAAGGAAGGAAGGAGGGAGAGTTGATTTTTTTTTTTTCCTTCCAATTTTTTTTTTTCTGCTTTTTTAATGCTGAGTTACCGTATCGCTTCGCTGAGATCCAGCAAGCCGAAGATTTTACTCGATTGCTTCCATTGCTGGAGACGCTAAGGGATTTTTGCCTTTTTTKGGGGGGTGAGGGGGGGGAACTTCGCGTTTCTTTCTTTTCACACTGGCCTTAAAGAGGATATATTAGAAGTTGAAGTAGGAAGGGAGCAAGCAGGCCGATGGCGCAAAGGGTACGTATGACTAAAAAAAAATGGATTTCAAATGTGAAATAATATTGAAACGTGGCTGACAGAGACACTGCGAAAAAAGTTTTGGTTTTTTTTTTTTCTTCTTTTTTTTCTTTCCCGTCCTTTTTAGAGTAGGGGCACAAAGCGGTGTCCTGGAGCGGGAGGATTTATCAGTTGTACTTGTAGGCTTAAAACGTGTGTATATTGCTATTTTCTTGATTCTTTTACTCCCCATCCCGGAGCTCTCAGGGAAGAGGCAAGCTTTCTACACATTAATGACATGCAGGCATATAAGTGAATATGTCCAAGCCTCTGTATTTGTTGGTTTTGTAGCTCTAGTCCTACTAATGTATTTTTTAAAATCACCAGTGCTTGAAATATTTGAATGTGTGCATGTCTCTGAGCATTTTGCTGTGTTAGTGATGATATAYCGCTTGACTTTCAGAAGATAAGTTCTGGCTGGGAGTAAGCACAACTTTTTTTTTTCTTCTTCTTTTACCTCTTTTTTCTCACTCCTCTTTTTTTTTTTAAAAAAAAAAATATATTCTGTCCCAAAAGGTGCAGTGCAGWGGGCAATCCCCCCCACTCTTTTAGAAAGAAAGTGGCTAATTTGAATTGGAGGTTAGCAACATTCACTGCCATGTGTATTGTTGTTTCCATTTTGGGTGCGATCTCTTTTTTTTTTTTTTTTTCCCTTACAACTACCTCCTAAATTGAAGTTATGAGAAAAAAAAAAAAATTAGCTGTAGTCGGCTGAACAGGGATTTGGGGAAGGAGAAAAGCCCTGGAAAGACGTTTTCTTGCCTGATTTGCCTGCCGCCGTCCGAGAGCTGGTTGGGAAAGAAAGTTGCTCTGCTGACAACTTGCCTTTTACTCTTTCGGTCCAAGCAAGTGTCAGAGATCTTTAAAAGTGTTTATTCACACCTTCGCTTTTAATAGATGAAAAGTGGCCGTTTCCCCCGCTGCCTGGGAACCGCGGTAGCTTTCTCTCCTTAATCTTTAACAAAGAAAACCCTTAAAAAAAAAAAAAAAAAAAAAAAAAAAAAAGCATTCCCAAAATCCCGAGAGCCCGGACGAACGTTTCCAGCTTTTCGGCTTTAAAAGTTGCGTTCGCGTGGAATTGCTGGAAATCCGCAAATCGCCTCTTTCTGGTTTTTGGTTTGGTTTTGTCTTGTTTTTTTTTTTACCGCTGCTGAAGTTTTTGCATCCTCGCTGGGTGAGGTACCTGACTTCTTATCAGCGGSAAAAAGTTTAAGCGGAGGGAAATTTGGACTCCGGGAACCTCTTCCATTCACGGTGTGACGGGGCGGGGGGCTGGGAACTTTGTGGATGGGGATTGGGGTGGGTTTTTTTCACTTTTATTTATTTTATTGTTATTATTATTGTTGTTCGTCCTCCGCCCCAGCCTCGGAGGGTTTCGGGCCGGAGCAGCCCAACCCCTCCGCTCCCGGCCCGGCGCTGCTCTCCCTCCCCAGGGCCGGCGCCGCGGAGCCCGGGCGCGCTCGGGGGGGAATCGCGTCTCATTCCCGGGGGGTGGGGGGGAGAAACAGAGGAACGGAGCCGCTGCCTCCGCCTCCCCCTGACGCCTGTCCGCTCTCTCTGTCCCGCAGTACGACGAGCTGCCCCACTACGGCGGCATGGAGGGGGTGGGCATCCCCACCACCATGTACGGGGACCCCCACGGCGCCCGCCCCATGCAGCCCGTGCACCACCTGAACCACGGGCCGCCGCTCCACTCGCACCAGTACCCGCACGCCGCCCACGCCAACGCCATGCCCCCCGCCATGGGCGCCTCCGTCAACGACGCCCTCAAGAGAGATAAAGATGCCATCTACGGGTAGGTGCCGCGCAGGGCTCCGCGCAACCTGCGCGGGATGGAGCGAGGGGGAGCGCGGGATGGGGAAGGGGAAGGATGGGGTGGGATGGGATGGGGAGCGCTGCGAGGAGAAGGGCCGCGTTCTTCATTTTGTGTCGGTGCTGCTTTGGGAGGCGGCGGGGAGAGGGTTGGGGTCCCTCTGGCACGGGGAAAAAGGAGCTTGCAGGCATCACCRCGGGAGGAGAAGGGGAATAATATTCCCAGGGCACAACCTGCGCCGGGTGGGAAATCTCTGCGCGGAGTTTTGGAGCAGGGAGAGTTTGGAGAGCTTCGCCCAACTTTCCACCTTGTTCGTCTCTCCTTGCGCTATGARGGAGAGAACTCAAGAGCTGCTTCTCTCAACTCTTTTAATTTTTTCATTTCCTTCTAATTTTCCTTTTTTAAATTTTTTTTTTAAATCTTTTACCGACAGCATTGAATGTTTCTCAGTGAGGCAACTTGTAAAGCAGTTTCTAGGCCGTTGCGATGGGAGCTGACGGGGTTACATTGGGCGCAGATGCTTTTAAAATGTATCTGCTCAGCTGGAGTTTGAAGGGAAGTTTAGGAACCTTTAAAAATCACTCTCAGGACAGTGAGGAGAAGGGGGAGGGAAATAAAATTCGTGGAGTTCGGTTTCTTTATTGGTTTATCAGAAATCTGAAGGGTTGGTTAAAACTCGGTAGTGTACTGTACCCAGAAGGAAAAAAAAAAGTACGAAGCCCTGGGAGGGGAAAAAAAAATGAACTCCCTGTTATAAATATACATATATACGTGTGTGTGCGCCCACGCTTATTTATTTATTTAAATTATTAAACGGGCGAGGGAAGCAGATGCACACGCTGCCTTTCTCCCGGGGAGGCTTTTCCAAGCTGGGATTGCCCAGGAGCACCTGGTTCCCCCCGCGGGTCGGCGGCTGCGGAGCCTCGGGGRGTGGAGGGAGGGCCGGAGGCCGTGGGGAGGCAGCCCGGCTTGGCCAGCGCCTGCCAGTGGCTCCGAGCTCTGTTGGGTGGCTTTAAGGGCTTTTTCTTCTTATTCCCCCTCCCTCATTTGGATGGGGATTGTTTCTTTTTTTTTTTTATGTTGGTTTGTTTGTTTTCTTTTTTCTCCCTTTCTCTCCCAGCAAATCCTCCAGCAGAAAACAGGAGTTAAAAGCGTGAGAGTCAGAAGTGTGTATATCCAGGGATTTTAATTTTTTTCTTCTCTTTATTTTTATTTTTTTTTTCCCCCTTAAAGACAAGGAAAGTTAATTCAAAATGGCTGCTGGAACCAGCTTGGGTTTTATTCTTGGCTTGTCCTAAGGTTGTATTAACAATATCTGCGGCCAGCCAGCGCCGAAAGGCCGGGGAGATGCCGGGCTGCTGGCCGGCCGGTTGTGGGAAGGGGCTGGGAAACTGCGGGAGGCGGCGGGGGCTGCCGGAGCCCCCTCTGTGGGTTCCCCCTTCCCCATGCACGCTGCTGTGGGACTAACTATTGTTGTGTTTGGGTTTTTTGTTTTATTTTTTTTTTTTGTTTGGTTATGATATTTTCCCCCCCTCTGTGTGTGTGACTATTGTATTTTCTTTCAGACACCCCCTGTTCCCTCTTTTAGCACTGATTTTTGAGAAATGTGAATTAGCTACATGCACACCCAGGGAGCCCGGGGTAGCGGGAGGCGATGTTTGCTCCTCTGAGTCTTTCAATGAAGACATAGCAGTGTTCGCCAAACAGGTCAGCAAAACCGGGTTGAAAACAGAAAAAAAAAAAATAAAGAGGGAAAGAAATCGTACCGAGATAAACAAGTCTCTGTTGAGATAAAGATGCGCGTTTCCCCCTCCCCCCCTCTCTTACTGAAAGAGGCAAAAAAACCAAAACAAAAAAAAGCCCCAAAACCCCAACCAAAACAAAACACAAAAAAAAAAAAATATCAGGAAATCTCGGCATTTACTACCCCCCTTAAAATAAGGATAAAGTGGAGCGGTCTGTGCCCGGCCGGGAGCTTCGCTTTGCGGCTCCCGGCAGCCGGGACGGGCTCTGCCGGGGAAGCTCCGTAGGTATTTTTCAGTGTATTTGATTCACTTGCTCAAGTGTTTGGCTGATGTACTAAATCCAGCAGTCAGGGCTTTGCACGGAAGGTTACATAATGGACCCGACAGTGTAATGAAGCAAGAAATAATAACGTCTGCTTTTTCTGCTTCCATATTTCAAATAATTTTTATTATTATTTTTTCCCCCCTTTCCTCCCCTTTCTCACATTTAGATCCGAGCAGAGAAACCCCTCTTTTCCTCTAATCCTGAACTGGATAACTTGGTAAGAGTTAACACTTCTTCCTCTCCCCACCCCCACCCTCCCTTCCCCTCCCATTTATTTATTATTTTTTTGRAACTTCTGTGTCATCTGGAGAGGTGGTTTGGTGTTGCTAAATTGAAAATTTCTCACGTGGATTTTTTAAAATTATAATTATTACGATGATGATGATTTCAATATTTACAAGTAAATATGGTGTGGTAATTGCTTGGAAGTTAAAAATCCCATAAGGATATACATAGAGGAAAACCCCATCCAAAGGGGAGCTGGCGGGCTTGATGGTGAGCTCGCCTGCCCGAGAGGAGCGTGGATTTATCCCTGCTGTAACCAGCCCCTCCACGCACCTTTTAAGCAGCTCGAATGGAAACATAGAGGATTACAATGGCTGGAGATGCACCAGTGGCAAATTCACTGAAAATGAGGTCTTTTCTCTCTTTCTTTCCTCCCCCTGTTAAGGATAAATATTTTGCTTCCACTGTAGGAGTCCTGCTCCGGCTTTTGCAAAGCGAGGAGCCAGTGATGGTGTTTAGAGGGTTGGGTTTTTTTTTTTAGGAAATGTTTATGATCCGTATAATTCAGTTGCTTCGTTGCAATGGGGATTTTTTTTTTTTGTTAACTCTAGATCGCTTCTCGTTAAACAGTGCACAAAGCCACCGCTATTAAGTTTTAGTGTTATTGCCATAAATCAAAACAACTTTTTATTTACTACTAGAGAAAAGTCAAGCTACAAAGTGTGGCCGGGGCGGCTGTGGGAAATATCCCCAAATCCAGGAATGAGATTAATGCCTATGTTGTTTGTGTCTTTGCAGATGATTCAAGCCATACAAGTATTAAGGTTTCATCTGTTGGAATTAGAGAAGGTAATTTTTGTCTCTCTCTCTCTCCCTCTCCCTCCCTCCCTCTCTCTCTTTCTCTCTTTTACTCCCCCCACCCCCTTCTTCCTCCTCCGTTTCAGTACTGCTGAAGTTCAGGCTTCTGGTAAATTTGCATAAATGTCTTTCTTTCTGGTAATTAGTGTCAAGACCAATCTTGGCGTCCATTTCTCTTCGCAGTTTAATTACAATTTCAGCCTCTAAAACTGAGCTCTCGAACGCCCAGGCCTTGTGTTCATTGTAATACTTTGCTGGCTTTGTATAAATAGTTGCAGTTCTGTGGTGCCGCAGATGAGACTCAAAATGGTTAGTTTAGTCAAGCCCCTGAAATTGTGATTAAAAAAAAAAATAGATATTGTTTTTCCTCGGTGATGGTGAGGAAGAGACTTCGGTTGCAGTTAGTTGGAAGGGGGAATTTTTTTTTTTTTTTTTTTTTTAAGAGCCATCTGCAGGTCAGGCTCAGGGCGCGGATTGTCCTGTAACATTTTGCAGAGACAAAGCAGAGTTGATAGTTCTGTCTGTCTCTTGTTCCTGGGAATATTGTACACCTCCGAGCAGAAGAAAGAGATTGCAGCCTAAAAGCAGGATTTTTTTGTTGGCTTTTTTAGAAATCTTAGTAGGGAGAATGCTAATTTCTAAGAAGGCGGTGTCATCTGAGCTCACATTAAATTGGAATTGCGCTCTGGGTTTCCTGAGGATTTTTTACGTGTCATTGATAGCTGGCCTAGAAGAGAATTCCCTTTCTCCTAAAAATAAACATTTTGAGAGGTTTTTARATAGTTGAAAAGTTTCTCGTGAGCCTCAGTCACTTTATCTAACCATAACTGTCAGGTTGTTCTCGCTCTACCGAAATGCGTTAAAATCTGCCCATTAATAAAAGGYGGCTCAGGTAGAAGTCTAGCAGAGCAACTGGGGATTTCAGGGCATGGATGCCTATAATGTATTTCAGCCCAGTGCACTGGGACTTTTTTTTTTTTTAAATCCTTTTTTCTGTCCTCATACCCCTTTGGAAAGGGTTTATGATGAAATAACTGGATGAAATTAAATAGTTTACCTTAAATGTCACCCATGCAGGTCACCTCTCTAATGGCCACAGCTCCGGGAGCAGATGAATTTAACACGGGTGTTGAATATGTTGTAGCCTGTGAATCATCTTGTCACTGTCAATTTTCTGGGATATCTCTATTTTGCGAGAAAAGAAAGTTATTCCTAATTCTGGATGCGTCTAGAGGTCTCAGGGGGATAATTGCAGTGTGTTTCCCCTATTTAGGACTTTTGATGTCACAGGGGCGAAGGGGGGAGACTGGTTGCACTTGTCAATTTTACTTATGTATTCCTGATTATATTTTCTTCCTTTTTTCTCCCCCCCATCTTCTTTTTCTTTTTTTCCTCATTCCTTTTTTTTTTTTTTTTTTTTTTTTTTTTATGATCCGAGATCTACCGTC